TTTCTTTTTTGTGAGTGTAAAACACTTAAATACATTATTCGATACCTCACTACTATAAAGGCTTGGTTTGCTCTGATATTTCATTGGTGGTAGTGTCCAGGGTCACTGATGAGGAGTAGAATTCTCCTAAACTAGTCTGGCTCACAGACACACGCACACACCAATGAAAGAATAGACCATTCCAAGCTTTAACTTGCTGTTAAACAAATGTTTAAACAACTCTATGCAATTGTTTACTTAACTGTTGTTATAGGTTGAACCACATCAATGTACATCCTATGAGTATGACATAAATCAATAACATTCGCTAAGCTCAATCAGCTTTTGAGTATATTTCTCAAACGACTCTGTAATAGTTTTTCGCATTTACAGTAGCTAATGAATTCAACAGGCGTTAAAAATTAAAATGTTGGAAATGTAACAATTTGTTTTTGTTTTCATTGTATATTGGTTCACGGTTAAAAAAAGACAATCTTCTATAATAAAAAATGCCGATCACTACGGATGGTGGGGATTTTCATTTTTCAAAAATCTCCCGATAAAATATATTCAAAACTTCCCAGGCATGGCAATGACATATATAGTAGAATACTAAAATCATTTCATGTTTTTGAATATTGCACACTCGATTTTGATGAAGAATGCAAGCAAATCAAACCCATTTAGTTTCTGTGGTCAGCTAAGACATTATATCTTTCGAAATGACGATCCTACAGTCCGAAACAAACGTTTGTATCAACCTCTCTCACTAGAATTAATTGCATCCAGCCCAAACTCCTTCCTATAACCAATTATTCCCCTATTCCTGTGTTAACAAGTTATAAATCACTATAATGATCGAATATATATATATTTATCTGTTTATCTATTCAGTGGTTATACTTATACTAAGATTTTAATGAACGTATAGATCTACATTTGTTTCAACCAAAAAAGTAGGAACACAGCAGAAAGGGGTGGAGGTATGGGCCTAACATCGTTGGGTCCAATTTAACCACTGTACATCTTTCGTACGTAACTACAACTGCGATAGCAGTGAGAGAGGTATTGCGCAAATAATAATAATTCTGCACATAATTGCCATGATAAATAAAATTCCAAAATATGTTCCGGTTACAGTGAGCCTAGTCTTAGTTTCGAACCTCTATTCCTTCTGTCATTACGACGAATTTTCCCACTTGTACGTTGCAACGGCTGTATTTTGTGCCTGGTAGATAAATCGGTGGTAGCCGGTGTTTGTTCGCAATTTCCAAAATATTCCTAATCAAAGATTTTCGAGTTGAATTTGTTATCTATATTATCCCTCATTGGCAAACTCAGTTTCCCCTTCTTCTTTTTTTTCCAATCATAATACTTTTTAGGAAATTTAAGAACTTCTAAGCTTGTTGGCATTTATACGTGCTGAAATTCTCTAAACACGTTTTATAGACCATTTAACTTTGATCGTGAAATATTAACTGGTTAAATTAAAAATAACGCCCTCTATTTGGGGATTTCGAGAAACTGGATGACAAAAAAATTCTTCTTTATTTGAGCATTTCAAAGACTGTTTGATTGATCTCAAAAACATTTCCGCTTTCCATGAAATCTTGAACTGGATGCTACAACTTTTCTTTCTTTTTTAATGGCATGTAATGGCTATCTTGGCGAAGCATGATCTGCACTCTGTAGATCGGTAGTTTGTATTATGTTTCATAATAATAAGATTGATAATATTTGTTATCAAATTTTTCTTTACCGGTTATATACGGATTTAATGTAAGATGTAAGAATAATTTAACAGCTTTTCAACTGCATACCTTGCGTGCTGCACGCTGCTGCAGACCAGGTTTTTTGCATTATAGCAGAACTTATCAAGTCAACTGAGTTTACAGCACACAAAACCTTGGTTGAAACGCTATTTACTCATTTAAGAGATATAAGTTATTGTGGTATATAACGGATATTTATACAAGCTCTGAAACAGGGAGAAAGGCCTCGTCAGCCCCAAGGTGCAACACGCAAAGTGTATAGGTTAAATGCTATATATAGTTCTCATTAGAGACCTGTTTAGGGCTAGTAAAAAAAGATTTGATAAAAATTATTATCAGTTTTGTTGTGCGTATCACTTTGTTACAAAGGTTCCACAACTAGAACCCTATGTGAGTTAGTTTTTTAGAATTATAACATTTTAGCTGCAGAACCTGGGGAAGATAAAATTCTCTGGTCTTACCACCCTCGTGTCCGTGAGTTCATAAGCGCACACAAACTACATAATACTGTATAAAAAATACGTGAATGGTAAACAGCAGAAATGAAAAAAAAAAAGATTTCAAAATAATAGTAGATGATATCTTCTCTGTCTGGCAAAATCACAGAAGAGACTTTCAGAACTTTTTAATGAAACTTATTTTTTTCGCAAAACCATAAAGTTTAAAGTGGAATGGGAAATGAACAACTGAATTCCTTTTTTTTAATCCTTATATCCTGAACCAATACAGGACCTGTTCTGTTTATCTACCCAAAACTCACTAACTAACAGTTACGTATTCTTTTTCTCATGTTGCTATATAAATGTTAAAATATCTATTGCAACCTTTATATTTCTAAGAGCCTACCGAATATGTAATTCTTCAACACCAAATTAAGAAATTCAAAACATCGTGTCCATTTTCAAAGATTTACAATATTCCATTAGCAGTTAGGATGGAACTCTGGAGCCAGAAGTAAACATGCACCTCTCCAGGGCAAAATGGTAGTTGAACCCAGAAGTCCCCCTAGGGCATAAGATGTGGAACAGTTAATTAACCTAATTAAATATATATATGCATGTTAATTAATCCAATGGGCATATCATTTACACATTAATAATCCAATTAATTAATTAAGCATTAATTAGGCATAAGGGACCCGTAAGCCTCTAGGGTATAAGGGGGACAGAGCAGTTGATTAACCTAATTAATTAGATTTGCATATTAATGAATTCAATTTGCATATCACTTATAGATTAAT